CTGGGAAGGAGAAAACTCTCATGCTTGCTTCTGTACCAAAAGTGATGCTCCCACAATCTAAAAGGTTGCGCTAAGTGGTTTCCTTGATTCACCCAGGCCAAAGAAAGGACCTCTTGCATACAGTGACAATGCCTGTAAAGTCCAGTAAAGAACTGAGCTCAAATTGGGACAATTTGCCACAGAGGAACAAGGCAAAGAATGTGTTGTGCGTCCCTGTGTGGTTATAGAGCTATTGACATGCATGGAAGCCACCCATATGCATACTCCGAGCAATTGTAAGATGGGGAATTAATTACAACTGTAGAAATCCATAAGGGCTGTGGTTATTCAGCCCCATGTGCAACATGAAGCGGATTGGCATTTTAAGGGATAATGAGATGTGAAACTCCCGCCACACCCACTTTTGTGTTTAAGAAATGGAGCCCTGTGGATTTTGTATCCTGGTTTTTTGCCCAGAGCCGAATGTTATTCTCAGAACTTAAGTCAATTAAATACAGGCCTTGCTGGCTCAGAAAGGGACTGGTACCTTTAAACATGAGAGCATTCTACTCACAGGCTAGTCAACTTTCTGATTAATTGTGGCATATGGAATGACTACAGAGAATGTGGTCTCTGAAAACTGAATTTTTCAGAATGACGTTACTATTAACAGATGGTCCTTAACATTGCCAGACACTCACACTGGTGTTGAATGTATAACTTCTGAAGCAGGGGCTTTCCTAGTCTCCCTCTCTCATATGGCTTTCAGGAATGATGGACAGTAGTGGAATCAACTGGTGCTATGAGTGATTTTTTTTTTTAAAAAAAGGGAAAATTAATAATTGCGCATTAATCTCTGGGCTGGTATTTTAAAAGCAAGGATCAGCTATGTAACCAACGAGTCACTTTGATGTACTTTAAGGGAATGCAGTCTCTGATTGTTGCCTTTGGAAAGTCTATTGCAAACACAAAATAACTATATGTGACGTTGGTCCTGGAACTATGACTGCATTGCTAGCTGCAGCCAAGCTTAAGTGTGTGTAAGGGCATTTTGCTCCTATTCTTCCCTCACTACTTCCTATCTTGCCTTTGTTGCCACTACAGATTGTAAGTTCTTCGGCGACAGGCTGTTTACTGTGCTTGTGAAACTTTGTAAAGTGCAAAGTGAGGCAAGTACTTCTGCTGCCACTATTTCAGCTCCCGTTGCTGCTACTGCTGCTGCTGCTGAAGCTAAAATAGTTAATGCTCAGACTACCAGCATTCACTGAGTGCCAATAAGGTTTTATGAAAACAGTCCCTTTTTGGTTAACGAAGACAATATGGGATGTTCTTTGGCCACTTTTGAGCCTTGTATGCACATTCATTTACCCAATTATTATCTGAATATAATCTAAGACAGTGTTTCTCAAACTATCTGAACTGGTGGACTTGCAATTCATCCCCCCTGCAAAAAAAAAACCCCAAAATGTGCCAGGGGCTGGTGCCATATTTTGTCCCATTCAATCTTGACTATGGTTTTATTTAACTGTTTTCTAAATAGTTTTATTTAACTATTTTAACTTGTGCATTTTGATATAAATTCAGCAGTATATAAATTTTAAAAATAAATAAATATTAATGGGCTGAGATGCAGCATATATCAGATGCAATTCTTTAGTTCTTAATGAAGGACAACATCTTGCTCTGAAATATGGTGGTCGTAGACCCACAGGTCTTCTTTATATCCCATTGGTTCTTTGAAGATTGGTTTCAGACAGTTCTACTATTCCTAAATGAAGAAAATGTGGATATACCAAAATACAAAAATAACTCTAGAGTTGCACAATGCCCAATTATTTTCACTAGTGTCTGGAGATTTCCTGGCCATTTTCTTTCTTTCTTTCTTTCTTTCTTTCTTTCTTTCTTTCTTTCTTTCTTTGAAAAGCGACCTCATAATTGTAAAGATAGGTTTAGATGTACATTGAGATTGAATCGGGATCACATATTGCTATATTTCGGTTTGGCTGACCTGAATTTGCAGTGGGCATTTCGGTGACGGATGGTCTTGAAAATTCTGCCAAACAAAATAGGCCTTATCATCAACAAATCACTGACTGGATTTATGAAAGCCAGTTTACTTGAAACTGAAATCCCACATGATTAAGTGAAAACAGCAACGCCAAGATCTTTAGAAGCAATATCCTAAATGTTCCTCTTAAGTGTTTTTCAGTGCGCAATATAAGCACAGACTGTCCAAGGTAAACCCAGACTGTAATTGTAAAAAATGAGAAAAACTTACAGTGTGGATATCTTCAGGGTAGCATCTCACATTGTGGGAGGTTGCAACAAAAAACAGCACACAACCTGAAAGAGGAATAGAGGACAGAGGGTGAAGAAAGAGCTATGAGTGGAGGGGGGGTCCTTTCCCCATCCTTTGGATCCCCTGGGAAACTCAACCAACCTGGTACCTGGAACTGGGTGTAGGGAGTGACTGCTGTGGGCAGTCAGAGTACCATCCACCTGAGGCCTGCCCATAAACAGCAAGTCTAGAGTGAGAGACTAGGGTGATGGCTGCTGTTTCCAAGAACTCTTCTTGCTGTGAGACTTTTGTGAGTGATCTGAGGGTTTTTCTGGACCCTGAGTGATGATGATGATGATAAATAATTAATTTATACCCCACCCATCTGGCTGGGTTTCCCCAGCCACTCTGGGCGGCTCCCAACGGAATATTAAAAACACGATAAATTATCAAACATTAAAAACTTCCCTAAACAGGGCTGCCTTCAGATGCCTTCTAAAAGTCAGATAGTTGTCTATTTCCTTGACTTCTGAAGGGAGGGCGTTCCACAGGGCGGGTGCCACTACCAAGAAGGCCCTCTGCCTGTTCCCCTGTAACCTCACTTCTCCCAGTGATGGAACTGCCAGAAGGCCCTTGGCGCTGGACCTCAGTGTCTGGGCTGAATGGTGGGGATGGAGATGCTCCTTCAGGTATACTGGGCCGAGGCCGTTTAGGGCTTTAAATGTCAGCAACCCAGAGCTTGAGAGGGAGGGTGTGTCAGAATCAAAATGAATCGTATTAACGTAACATTTCTATTATATAACTGTCTATTTTGTAATATCTTGTTTAAGTTTTCTTTTGATGCTTCTTTTTTGTACACCGCTTAGAGATATTTTTAATATATTAAGCAGTAAATAAATTAAATAATCAACCAGCCAACCTTTTATGCTCCCACTTTTCCCTGTAATACATAGCATCTGAAAAGAGAGCCCACACATCTGTACCACAGACATGTCTCCACGCAGAGGAGATCAGGCTCCCTTTTGGATGAAATGGAAATTAGCTTGTGATAATCCCATGAGTGATTTAGTAAGTGAGCAAGTAACTCAGCTCCTGAATGAAGTTGGCTTTCTGCAGCACAGAGTGTGCGGAAGGGCAACAACACCCCCCAAAGCCAATATTCTGCCAAATATGTAGCTTAGCTTGCTGTGTGCTGCAGTCTTAGTTTCTGTTATGAGATATATTATTATTATTATTTGTCCCACGTTTTGACTGCTTGTCTACAATAGCCCATATACCCCGGAAAGAAGACATGAGACAGGTTGGGAGTAACAAAGGACTTCATCACTTTATCCCCAAACAGTGCAGGTCCTTACAACTTAAGGTGACAGCTATAAACATCTCATCACCTACCTTAGGTGGACAACTCTGCCTGGTCTAAAGCATCAAATCAGCCCAGGAATTGATCCTTATTTCTCATTGCAGTTCAGGCCTAAGGGATGCCAGGGACACGCATCCACAACCTGGTCAGCCTAGGATAGGATGATTTGGCTGGGGGCCAAAGGATCCAATTGTATAAGTGTCTTTCATCTTTGTTGTTGTTGTTGTTTAGTCGTTTAGTCGTGTCCGACTCTTCATGACCCCGTGGACCAGAGCACGCCAGGCACTTCTGTCTTCCACTGCCTCCCGCAGTTTAGTCAAACTCATACTGGTAGCTTCGAGAACACCATCCAACCATCTCGTCCTCTGTTGTCCCCTTCTCCTTGTGCCCTCCATCTTTCCCAACATCAGGGTCTTTCCCAGGGAGTCTTCTCTTCTCATGAGGTGGCCAAAGTACTAGAGCCTCAGCTTCACGATCTGTCCTTCCAGTGAGCACTCAGGGCTGATTTCCTTAAGAATGGATAGGTTTGATCTTCTTGCAGTCCACGGGACTCTCAAGAGTCTCCTCCAGCACCATAATTCAAAAGCATCAATTCTTCGGCGATCAGCCTTCTTTATGGTCCAGCTCTCACTTCCATACATACATCATTACTGGGAATTTCATCCTTAAGATGCATCAAATGCTCACTAGGGTAGCGTAGCCTTCAAACTCTCCCAGAGTGAAGCGTATCTGCCATTAGAGGGAGCAAGCTTTCCCCATCTACCAAGCCAAAAAAAAAAGATGCAATTCTCTCTACAGAGTCTGCAAAAAATAAAGGGCTAAAGGAGGTCACGTTGTTCAATGGATAGTTTCCCTCATCTCTATAGGTGACAAACAGGTGTTGGCTCTCCCTGTGTGGGAAATATCCCATAAAGCAGCTGACACAAACTTTCTTATGTCTCTGTTGATCCTTTGCTTCTTTGGAAATAGCTTAACCATTAGGGAGGGGGGTGAGTTCTCCAATTTAAATGCCTTATTTGCAATGTTTAAACAGAATCTACCTTTAAGGACACATCAAGTTTATGAGGTTTGGCCCAAGCAGGAGGCAGGTCCAGAATCAGATTGAAAAAGTAGCTGAAGGAGAGAGGACCTGTTGTACAGAATTCTACAATACATATGTATTTTTAATATACTATTTCTTGTTCCAACTCCTCTGACCCACTCATCATATAAAGAGAGAGTATCACACAATTTTCAAATGGTTCACACCAACACACGCATACCCATCTTGCTGCTGGCATTAGCTGCAGAGAAAATTGTTTCATATATAAAGCTTTCAGACTTCACAACATGCTAGGTACACCTTTACACTGTGCATTTAATTAAACATTTACAAATATATATGCATTTGGTAACTCAGTCAGTAGAGCATGAGACTCTTAATCTCACAGTCATGAGTGCAACCCCCATGTTGGGCAAAAGATTCCTGCATGGTCCCTTCCAACTCTACAATTCTATGTTTCCCACTTTCTCCCCATTTAAGGTATGTAAAGTGTAGCAGATGATCATATTGTGGTGCCGGCGGCACAAAGAATAGGCATTCCCTCAAAATCAGAACAAGTGCTGTGCATAATTGGAGTAAATATTATCTTATATCTTGGTTCTTCCCTGTTCACACTTTTTTTTTGGTCATTTTTCATTCATGCCAGCAATTCTTTTCTTTTAATTTTTCTGTGTTGAATTTATACCACTGCACCCTCGTACCCAGATACACGGGTGCAATTGCAACAAGGTCAGTGTGTGTGTGTGTGTGTGTGTGTGAGAGAGAGAGAGAGAGAGAGAGAGAGAGAGAGAGATGAGGGGAGAAAGAGATTGTGTGTGAGAGGGAAATCTCAAGTGCACACACCCCTGCATATATTAGGAGAAAAGTCTGTGCAAACAGAAATATTTGGGAAAAGAACTGGGAGAAACAAAAAAGGAACAGGGACATGAATGTGAAATGAGACATGAAATTGGAATAAAGTTGATGCATGCACACCCCTTAAACACAACTTGGTATTGGCTTCAGCACTGGGCAAGTGCTCTTGAAATCTGAGCTGAGAAGCAGTTAGAGTAACTTTAACCACCTGAGAAATGCAATAATCACCCTGAAATGTGCAGCCTGCAGTGTTTTATTGGCATTATAAAATGCAATTTATACATAAAAATAAGGAAAACAGTCAGAGCCATCCATTTATGAGGCATCATAAATATTGTTATGACATCACTGACAACCTCTCCGGCTCTGCCAAATGCACTGAGGATTCTGAAGCAGTTCTGTATTTACCTTTGGAATCTGTTTTTGATCAGCAGGAGCATGTGTGTATCTCTGCATGTTCAAGAGGACATGGCCATGTGCTGTTTGTTCTGCTGCTCCACTGACACAAGAGTGGGACTATGAGCATGGATTTTAGGTGCATAGGGCACATGAAAACACCTTCCCCCCTCTGCCCAGGTATAGCCATGGTGGCCTGTCCGGTCCAAGCATGAGTTGTGCCACAGTACAGTTGTGCCACAGTAGTTGAAGGCGATAAAGGAAGTGGCTGCATTTCATGTAGGATGAAGTGGATGGAACTCTTCAGGAGGAAGTCTCAACAAGCAGGATTGACTCCAGATTCCTTTCTTCTCCTAAAATATGTACATACTGTAGTTCTGCCAAATGACCCCATTAGCAGGAAATTCTGGAAGGAAATGTAATAGCAACAAGAAAATGCAAGTTATCTTGATGCTAGACACATTAACTTGGAGTTGGTTTCAATGAAACTTTCTTTTAAGCGTTCCTATGAACATATACAGTGGTACCTCAGGTTAAGTACTTAATTCGTTCCAGAGATCCATTCTTAACCTGAAACTGTTCTTAACCTGAAGCACCACTTTAGCTAATGGGGCCTCCTGCTGCTGCCACGCTGCCGCACGATTTCTGTTCTCATCCTGAAGCAAAGTTCTTAACCTGAGGCACTATTTCTGGGTTAGCAGAGTCTGTAACCTGAAGCGTATGTAGCCCGAGGTACCACTGTACTTGTGAATAAAGTCCACCGAATAATTTGTAAGTGAACATGCTGCAGGTAACATCTTGCATACTTACAGCACAATCCTATGCATGTGTCACAGAATCATAGGACTGTAGAGTTGGAAGGGACCCCAAGGGTCATCTAAACCCAACCCCCCACAATGCAGGAATCTCAACTAAAGCATCCTGTGACAGATGGCCAGCGAACCTCTGCTTAAAAACCTCCAATGAAGGAGAACCCACAACTTCCAGAAGGAGACCATTCTACTGTTGAACAGCTCTCACGGTCAAAAAGTTCTTCCTGATATTTAGTTAGAATCTGTTTCTTGGAACTTGAAGCCACTGTTTGAAGTCCTAATGCCCAGAGAAGGAGAAAACAAGCTTGTTCAACCTTTAGTGCTGAATAAAGTAAAAAAGCAGCACTCCCTCAAATTAAAAGCAGTGTAGAGCAGGCAAGAAAGCACCCAACTGGCCAATCATGGGACACTGAAAAAATCCTTTTCAACCCCCAACAGGGCAACCAATTGATCCCATACTACTGAACGGTGGGTGGGCTGCCAGCCTTTAACTGGGGCATGTGGTACCCCTCCATGAGAGGTCCAGAGGGTGGCAACACAAGAACAGGGCTTTTGTGGTGACTCCCCCTTTCTGGAATGCTCTCCTCTTTTAAAGAGGGGGATAATTGTTTTTGTTTGTTATTATGTTAGGCGTTTCTGTGTTTTTATACTGTAAACTGCCTTGCGATACTCAGATGAAGGGCTGCATATAAATTTAATAAGTAGATATAAAATAAAATAAATGGATGTCTCCTCCCAATCAGCTATGAAGGCCAGCCAAACTCTCCCCACCCCCCAATACTGGAGGAAAAATTCTCATGCTGCATCCTCACAATGGGGTGGGCATGCACAGGAGCATCATTCCTAGTAAACTAGGAAGCAGCTGACTCTGGCCTGTGTCTTTCTCCTGAACCTCAGAATCAGGATCACAGGTTAAACATTCCCCAGAATATCTTGTACCTCATGCTTCGTCATGTGTTACCGCAAAGTGCCAAAATAAGAAGTGCAAGTGAGTTACCCACACATATCTATTGGCGACTGTGATCCAAGCCCTCACGGGTCTTTGCTGCACACCCAGGAAGCACCACACAAACTGTTCCAATTGGTGTTAATGAATGTTCCACATGTGGATATCCTTTGCATATCCACAAGTCTGAAAAGCAGGGAGGCAGATGCTGGGTGACTATGGAAGTCCCTACAAGCACACCGAAGTTTCTGGATTTTTGTTGATGAGACACAATAGTGGGAAATAAACAGTCTGTTTCTGTTTTATCCCAGTTATCAAAGCAAAATAGAATCCAGATTGCCAGGGTACCAGAAACATTGTCAAAGTTTTCTGAAAGCTTCAGCTTAGTGTTGTTGTTTTTTTTAAAAAAATTGTCCCTTCAACGGGACAAGCGAAATGTGAGATTTAATAATGACTAATTTTACTTGGAATAGATAGATTGATTCATATTCATAATTTGGAAAGAGCTATTCATTTTAGCTCTGCTCCTGAGCATCTAGATCATCAAAGTTTCTAAGTGCTATTTGCATATATGCAATGTGGAATCTAATGTATCGTAATCCGTTCTTCCCTCTGGGAAATGCTACAGTTGTTCTAATGAGAAAAACAACAGACTACTAGTTCGGTCAAAGTTGTTGGTTGATAACCCCCCTGCATAACTTAGCTCACAAGGCTGCAGTCTCCCATATCGACAAGCAGAACCAGAGTTTCCTTGTATTAAATATCACATTTTGTTCATGGTGAGGTTCAGTCTAAACGATCATTCAAAGACAAATCTAAATAAATAACAAGCCAGCTTTCAGGCAAACAAATGAATTTGCATTGTTTTATATTCATCATAAATATTTCACTTAATTACTGAGGTACCTTGTTCAGAAATACAAAACAACATTATAAATTTATTAGCACTGTCCCTGCTGATTTTACAGACGTTCTGCGGAATGTAAAAGCCAAAAGTAGAAACTGGCTCAAGAGCATAGCCAGAAGAATATAAACCATAATCAAATGCTAATCTTGACTGACAAAAGTATGCTTTGTTAGGCATCTCCTTTCTATCCGAAGCTTTCTGCCTTTAATCAGGTGTTATCATATTGTTGTTAAAATCAAGGTCAATTGCTTCTCTTTCAAATCCCAAATATGGGAAAGAGGCACTCATTAATATATATATATATATCCCAGCTATAAAATGCTCTCAGGAATTGTTTTCTTGTTTGTACAATTGTTAAAATATAAAGGCCCTGATCCAGAGTTCTTTAACCTCAAGAAGAATTCTTTAACATCAGTGGCATGTTCTCTTTAAACAGCTTGACCCAGAACCCAGCAAAATAAACTCAGGAGACTTAAAAGAATTAATTATGGGGTCCTCTACATGTGATTCTTAAGAAAGAATCATTCAAGGGGGGAACTGGTTACCCTTTAGTGCTGCTTGCATGTCTCACTTTGGATCAGAGCCAAAATCGCATAGCAAGATTTTCTGAAAGGTTTAGGAAGGTCAAGTAATTGAACAAGTATAACTAAAACATAAAAGCAACATTTACCAAGAACATTATTTAAGCTTATGACAGTGCGTGGGAATATTTTTACTCAAATATGTAAAAGTTTTATAAAACAGTCTCTCTTTCTTGGGGGGGTGGGGAAGATGGGAAGAATAAAAGGCTGACCACTTATAGTGTACAGATTAATTGAGTTTTTATCATCCCTGAGTAAAGTAAACTCATCTCTAAATTTAACAAATCAGTGCATTGTATTTCATCTCAGTGCAAAAATTATAGCTTCCTTGTAATGAATAAGGACAGTGTGTGTGTGTGTGTGTGTGTGAGTGAGAGAGAGAGAGAGAGAGAGAGAGAGAGAGAGAGAGAATATGTTGGGGTTATGAATGGGAAAATAAACACCACCAATGTAAACAATCTGATAACATAAACAGGAGATTTCATATAAGTCCTGGTCTATGAGCAAAGTAATATCAGAGGCTACAATCCTGCATACACTAAGACTTGTTAAATCCTACAAATCGACAGGATTTAACAAACTTGCTGTGCAAAGGACTGCAGACAAGGAATGTGCACAGAGTGAAGGTGTAAACAGGTACTTCAACCATTGCCTGGTTAATATACATAGTCTGTGCCTGAGTTTCTCTGACTGGCTATGGAATCAACAAATCTGTCTGAAGCACGCGTCTTATCTTGCAAATGCAAATACTGTAGCACTACATGAGAACGTTTAATAAAAGCGATCCACGAAGGAAGAATGCCACTTACAATACTTAGTGTAATGTGTCGACTAAGAAGTGTGAGAGAAGACCATAGTTCAAATCTCGGTCTTAGGTTAAACCGTCTTCTCTCTACTTTAACTATTCCTCTACAACCA